GACCACAAAGGGAGGGGACCCTTTGCTGTGCCAAGTTCTGTCCTAGTGGGTTTTCATTCATTAGCTCCTTTAAAATAGTCCATTTAGAGGAAACAGGTTCCATTATTATCCTCATTTTACACTTAAATGACTTGTCCAGGAAAAAGACTTGGGTTCGCATCTTGGCTCTCACATCGGCTTATGAGCAACGTGCCTTTCGGGTGGTCACTCCATCTCTGAGCCTCAGTTTTTTTCACCCTATCAGTAATGTGGGGCTGGTAGGAATTTACAAGATTCTGGGACTAGACAGTACTATTTATACCCTTTTGAGGCACCAAGGGGTTTAGTACCGAAAATCCACTCCAAACTACACATCACTTTAAATATTTACTAAAACCTTGTGTATCCTGACGGTAAATCATGGGACCTGAATTTTCCAGGACTATCCCCATTTCAAATCCTCTGTCCTAACTTTCCACATAAAGCATCAAACTGTCTCAAAAATTCCACTCTCTCAGTATCCAAACAACACCTCCCAGGCCCTCCTCTTACACGAAGCAGTAGCACAAACATTCTTTCTCCGACAACAGATCCCAGTCTTTGGTTCAGAAAATGTAGTCACCGGAACCTTTCTGGCCCCCTGATGGAAAGAGGGTCATGGCAGCCGGTACTCCATCCCAACTCCAACTCAGCTGTTTCCTGGCACACTGGTATAAACCACAGCCAGAAGAAGCCGTCCCATGATCACAGCATCACCCACAGAGGGACACAGACTGGTTAGATGAGCTCTGCCCCCACCTACCCAGCAAGCTGCTGGTACCCAGGTAGAAAGCACGGCCAGAGGGTTGCTCCAAGGTTTAGGTCAATGAGTTAATATTTAGAAAGCACTCAGAACAGTAAGTGCCGTAACAGTGTTTCATAATGAAAACCAAAGGCATCCCTGGCAGAAGGGGCTCACGCCTCGAAGAGAACCCAAAGGCATCACTTCTAGCTGGGGAGAACAAGGAGAATGGGCACTTACCCCTGGCTTGAGTGAGGCTGGGGCCCCTTACAGACATGAGGGAGTACCCTGACTACAGGAGGCCAGACCTGGGGAAGAGTCACCACTCCTGATATACACATGGTCTCTGGGCCTTAGCACCTGCTGTTCTGTCCGCCCCCCAAATACCATCTTTTTCTCCCTTTAAGGCTGAATTCAAATGCCGACTATTCCTTATGGTGTTCCTTGATCTCCATCAGAATGAATGGCTGCCTCCACTGGTCTCTCTCACATCTGGCTTTAGCCTCTTTTAAAGTAACTGTGAGACAGGTAAGTAGATACAGAGCATGTGTGTGTGTGCGCACAAACACACACACACACGTCATTGTCTTCCCAATTCCACCATGCATCCTTCCAAGATAAGGGCCTTTCACCTTTGTAACCCTAGGGCCTGACACACAGCTCAATAAGTGTCTGAATTTGCTGTGAAATCTGTGCTCTCAGCTGGTCTTAACCTGGAGGCCAAAAGTAGCTTCAGGGGCACACATAACCAGAAGCTATGTAGCTGCAAGATCTCCAGGTCTGGGAACCCATGACTAGATCAGATTTTAGCCAGGGGCCTACCAAAGCATTCCCTTTCATCCCCCTTCAGGTGGATGAAAGGAGACACCTGTGAGACCCGAGCAGCGTGGACACTGACCAGATCCTGGCCCATCTCTAATACAGTTGGTAAGAAGAGCCCAAGCTTGGGAAGCAACACCAGCAGGCTGCCCTGCCTCCACCAGCAGGTCAAGGCCAGGGTAAGTGCAGAGTGCCTTAGGCATTCCAGCCCCTGCAACAGACCTGGGAACGGATGAAGAGGGATTGGCCCTGCTTTCCAGGAACCACTGCTGTCTGGTGGAAGGAAGCGGAGTACCGGGATTACAGTCAAAGTCGCAGGTCCCTACCACAAATCCTGAGGGTTCAGCGGGGAGGTAGGGGGCCAGGCCTTCTTGCTCCCTCCAATCCCCAAAGCTGAGCCCTGTGGGTGGATTATGTGCATCCTGGAAAACAGAATTCCTCCTGTGCCTGGACCAAAGGTTCAGAAGGTCACAGTTCATCCCTCCTGCTGCTGGCCCCAGACTACCTTTGCTAGCTCAATTTCTGCAAGAGTGAGAAAGAACAGCACTGAAATTAAACAATGTATGCGAACCCTCCCAGTTCACAGTCAACAATCAAGGAGTTGGTCCCAATCCTCTAAAGTCAGTTACCAGCTGGGAACACCAACTTCTTTCAGGGGTAAGATTTGTCTCTGACCAGGTTCCTGCCACTAGCCTGAGGATAAAAGCTGCCAGGATTCTTCTCTATGAAAAAAATGTGAAAGAAGAGGTCCAAAACAGGAGTGGTGAAGCAGTGAGGTATTCTGAATTTGATTCTGTGTTAACTTAGATTCTTTCTCCTGCTCCCAGCTGTCCCTGAGGACCTGCCCCTTCCTGGCAGGGATGTTCCCCCAGGCACCCTGGGTTTGCTGGGACCCACTGGTCTACTCAGCATCCTCACCCAGCACTGCATCTGATATACAGAAGCAGCTCAATAAATGCTTGCTGAACAGAAAGCCACTTGGAAAATGCCTTCAGTAACTTGACCTTTTACATTCCTCAGCTAATGCCTAATTTGCATATAAGAGTCCAGTTTTAGGAGATGGCCAGTCACCAGAGACAACTCAGGATCAATACAGAGTATTAGGCATGTTTTATTCTACTCTGATTCTCTGCAAATTGGTATTCCATTAAGTGTATGTGGGATTTATGGGCGCTTACTATAAACTAGAATATTTAACTAGAATGACTTACTGTCAGATAATAGCTTACCATTGTTAATTTTCAACTAGTCAATCTCAGAAAGGTTTCCAGCTTCCAGTCTCCTTTACATGTTGATTTAATCGCCAGGAAAGTCATCTATTTCAAAGTCTCCATACAATAAAGGGCAGCTGGATGAAGAAGAAAAAGACCTGCCCAAGGAAGAAGACCTGAGTTCTATCCCACCTAGGGCAATGCAGTATGATCAGCTGTTCAAGACCTCAATTTTCTCATTTGTAAAATGGGAATAACACTGGCCTCATGGGAGAGTTGTAAAAATTGAGCTGATACATGTGGATGCATTCTGCACAGTTCTATAAGGCTATACGATGGTTAAACATAACATGAAATTCTTGAACAACTCAGGTAGGCTAATGACAGAAAGCAGGGTGGTTCTAAAGGGGAAGAAGAGATATTTTGCCCCCCAAGGGACACTTGGTCAGGGTGGCGGGGAGGGCATTTTTGGTTGGCACAACTGAGGAAGAAGGATTGCTACTGGAATCTACTGGGTAAGACCAGGGATGCTGCTAAATATGTTGCAATGCTTTGAACAGGCCCCACAACAAAAAATGATCCAACCCCAAATGTTAACAGTGCTGAGGTTAAGAAACCCTGATCTGAACAATCAGGAAAGTTGGGTAGGGGAGCTTTTTCCAACAGAAATCCTTCTAACCAGGCTGTACTTCCATCATCTCTTTAAACATTTGCAAGATGGATCATCTTGCAAACCAGCTCTTTTGTAAGTAAAGCTGAACTGCCAACTTCTGGAGTTTCTGAATGTATAAAACTGCTTTTAACTAAGATGCTCTCCGATTACAATTCGGCTAAATTGTTTTTCCAAAGCCCTTGACTTCTGCAGTTCTCCAGGGCACAAAGACAGGGTCTGTCACTCTGCCACTAGGCCCTAAAGATGCTTTCGTAATTCTAATTTCCTGGTCAAATGGGAGCCACGAGGGTCTCTAAACGAATTAAATTCACATCACGTCAACTGCTCCCTTGCTTAGTGCCGGGCACGGAGCCAAACACCTCCACATAATTTATCCCACTTAATCCACCCAACCACCGAGTGAGGTGGGCATTATTACCGGCTGTTTGCAGGGGAGGAAATTGAAGATCAGAGAGGTTAAACAACTCGCCCAAGGTCACCAGCTGGCCAGGGGGAGCCCAACTTGAACGGAGTCTCCAGTTTCCAAGTCACAAGCTCTTTCCATCAGCTCGGAAAACCCAGGTGTCAAGTTGTCTCAACTTCCCATGAATTTTTAAGGCAACGGCAACTTCTCAGTAAGTTTAGGCTGCTGAAAATGGGAATTTCCGGGGGGCTGGGCGTGCTCACATACACTCCCCTCCACTGCAGCTGTCTCACCGCAGGTACCTGATAAATCATTCCATATCGCCCGCGGAACGGGGAGGATTTATTGGCGCTGGAGTTCGTGCCAGGCCCAGGAAATGCCATCTTTGAAAGCCGAGAGGCGGATTCGCCCTGGGAGCCGAGAAGGTCTGGCCGCCGCACTTGGTTGGCTCCCCCGCGGGCTGTGCGCCCCTCGGCGCCCCGGGCTGGGGTCGCCGCGGCGCTGGGCCCTCCGGGGTCGCCGGCCACGTCCACCCCTGCCCGGGTCGGAGCGCACGCCCACGCCCACGCCCCGCCGCCGCAACCGCGTCCCGGCCGCCCGCCCGAGGCTGAGCCCCACCCCGCCCCGCTTGCTCCCTCCCGCCGCGGCCCCGCCAGGTGAGCGCGGCCCGGGCGCCCCCTCCCCGCCCCGACGTGGCGTCGGGACCCCGGGGCCGCGGCGTCCACCAGCCCGCCCGCGCGCTCACCGCGCGCTCGGGGACGGGTGGGGGCGGGGCGGCGCCGAGCGCGCCCCCGGCCCCCGGTAGCCCCGCGCCCTGCCTCGGCCCGCTGGGGTCGCGCCCGCCCGTACCTGCAGCATCCGGGGCCGCGGGGCGCCCAGGTAGGTCGCGCGAGCGGGCGGCGCGGAAGCTCGCTCGCGGCGCGACCTGGCCGCCGTCTGAGCATGCCCAGTGCCGCCCGCGGGCGGCTCCCGCCGGCCGGGCTGGCCGCGACGGGCCCGCGCGCCGGGCGGGGGGCGGGCGCCCGGGCCGCCCTGCGGGGCGCCCCTGCTCCGCCCCGGTCTGGCGCGCTCGGACGCGCCGCCCAGGGCCACCGGGGCTCTGCTGCCGAGCTCCTGGCAGCCCCCAGTCCCCTCGCGCGGGCACGCAGGCTTTCGTTCCACGCCATTTTGGGGTACCTACTGTGTGCCGAGCCCTCAGTGATTTTATGCTTAGGAATGTCCAGCAGACCGCGTTCAACAAATCTTTGAAATGAGGACGAGTCTTGCCTAGCTGGGGTCCTGCCGACTTTCAGTCCAGTGCTTATCCCGTTCCACTAGTAAGCTTACCGGCTTAAACCTTCCCCAAATTTCTTACCCGCCATTACCCCCCTCCTCCCATCTGTGCTCTTGCTGTCCTCTTCCATCTCAACTGACATCGGCCTTCCTGCAGCCCCATGAGCACCTTTCTGTCCACCAAACGCTGAACTTGGCCAGCCTCAGGACATTTGCACATGCCTTTCCCCCCCTCCTGCTCTGTGGGACTTCTTTGCCCAGTTTTTCACGTGGCTGGCACCTTCTCATTCTCGTTGTACCTATGTCCTCATCTGAGAGGACTTGCCTCAGCACCTTACTACATTAACACCCTGTTCCTGGACATTCTCCATGTCCTCATTTTATTTCCTTCACGTGTATCACTATCCATTCGTTCAACAAGTAATTATTGATCATCTACTTTGGTTCTTCAGGCGTGGTGAACAAATAGGCAAAAATCCTGTCCCCTGGTGGAGTTTGGGGAAAGAGAGGCAGGCAAGAGACAATAAACATGTAAATAAGCAAACTATATAGTATATTAAAAGGTTATAAGTCATAAAAGCGAAAAAGGACAGGGTAAGGAGACAAAGGTCTAGGGAGTAGAGTTTTCAATGAGGTAGGCTGATCAGCCTGTGAGAGTGACATCGAGAAGGTGGCGACTCAGCCCCGCAGAGGGAACAGCTTGTGCAAAGACACGAAGGTGCAACACTCGTTAGGGTTTGGCAAGGACAGCGTAGTGGGAGATGAGGTCGGCAAGTGACTTTTCCTCTCATTCGCTTCTTGTGTATTCCCCTAGGGAATTGCTGGAGCTGTATAGCCCTGCCTGTCTTCACTGCAGTGTCCCAGCTCCTGTATGGCAGCACGTGCCACACAGTAAGTGCTCAAATACTATCTGTTGAATGAATATGTGAATGGAGGGATGGACTTATGTTTGGAACCGTCCGGTCTGGACTACGATGCCCGAGGTCCGGGGGGCTGGCCTGCCCAGGGCCATTCGGTGGCCGCCGGCAGCACCTGGTGCCTCACTTGGGTCCCTGTCCCCGAGTTGCACGTCCCCGGGTAGCGCCACTGCAGCGGGCGCCGCCTGAGCGTCGCGTCGGGGGGAATTCCGACGGAGTCAAGGAGTCCCAGGAACAGGACCCGCCCCGAGCCCTGCCCCGCCCTTTGGTCGCTCGCAAAACCTGGCGCCGCGGCGCCGGTCCAGCCCCACTGAGACGGACGGGGAGTTCACTGGGCATGCTCGGAGCCGGGCGGGGCCCGAGTGCCCGGGAGGAGGAGTCTTCTGGTGGGGCCGGCGATGCCCCCGCGGAGCCCCGCGGGACGCTCAGCGCCCGCTTTGTTCCCGACGCCTCCTGGAGGGTCTGGGGGGCTTTTTTTTTTTTTTCAAAGCTTAGTAAGAAAGCTGGGGATCCAGAGTCCGTGAAGGGCGTTCTCTGCCCTCTCTGTTTTGTGATCTGCGCCAAGCACATTACCCTGACTGTGTTTTCGATAGTACGAATACCCATCACTTGGCTCTGGGCAGAATGTGGGGACTGAATGAAATAAAAAACGTGAACATGTTTAATCCATTTTTTTTTTAAGATTCTATTTATTTATTTGACACACAGAGAGAGACAGAGAGGGAACACAAGCGGGGGGGAGTGGGAGAGGGAAAAGCAGGCTTCCCGCTGAGCGGGGAGCCGATGCGGGGCTCGATCCCAGGACCCTGGGACCATGACCTGAGCCGAAGGCAGCCGCTTAACCGACTGAGCCACCCAGGCGCCCTGTTTAATCCACTTTAAAGACCCATTTCGTGAGTGCCTGCCTCAGTTACCTGTCATCTGCAAACCAGTTTCCCAAGTGCTAATATGAGGAAACCTGAGTTAATGGACATGTGAATTCTTGGAGTTGTCTCAATTTGCCTTCTACCACAAACTAGGCTGAAACTATCTTTTCTTTCTCCACATGCAACAGTCATGAGCTTAAACAGTGTTCTTAAATTCGACCTCAAAAATATCTGTACACCTAAGGGAAAAAGACCTAAATCTTTTTAAAATCGTGCAATTCCATCACCATAACAGAAGCAGGAACAAAAGGAAAGAATATTCCCCAAACTGGAAACAAATGAATGTCCACAGATAGTGGAATGATTAGTTAGGTTATGGTATGTTTGTTGAATAATAACTAGTTTATACTAAGCTAGACCATACTGCAACAGGGGGAAACTAACAATACAATGTTAAGGGGGAGGGGAGCCGGGAACAAAAAGACTGCATAAAGATTAAGTCTACACATTCACCCAGACTAGAAGGAAATATGGGAAAATGTAAAGAGTTTAATTTGGGGGGGTAGTATGGTTGGTTTCTCTTTTTAAGTTTATTACTAAAAAAAAAAAAACAAAAAACCAAACCAAAGTTTATCTATTACTGTCACACTGTTGTGTTTGCAATAATAAACATTGAAAGACCAAATTAAAAATTTGTGAAGTTTTGTGAAAGTCTAATTATAATAATAACAATAATTACTATTATCAAGCTCAAGTATGCTTGAATTTTACACATATTGTGTCTTTAATCTGGACAGTGACTGGGTGTTTCTAGCTCAAGTTTTACATAAGAAACAATCTAGGAGCCATTCACAGCTAGTAAGAGATAGGGTCAGGACTGAACACAGTTGGTCTGACCTCAAAGCCAGGACATTAGGTTTTATAATACTGCCTCTCTGTGTAGTAGCTTGCCATGTATTGATCAGAAGAGAAACCACATATCATTTCATTTTGTGTCTTTTTTTGCCTTATTTTCTCTACCCTTTGATGTGTTTGTAGGCTGCAGATTGCCTTTAAATGTTCTGGTCTCCTGTTACTATTTTCTTATTGGAGCCAAAATGTTAAAGTCCATCCTGTTCAGCTGTTGCACCTGGAGTGACATGATGTTATTATCAGCAATGACAGTTGATCTTATATCATAAGCTCCCAAACTTTATGGAAATGAAGCTTTTGGATGGACACATAGTCTTCTTAGTCTGTGTGGTTGAACCCAGCGAAATCGAGAGCAAGTAGAGGCCTCATCGGGGTAAGGCTATCCCAAGTCTCAGATGATGAGGCCAGTCCAGACATAGATGATTCTCCCTGGATAATCATTTTGGAGTCAGAATCACAACATAATGGAACCACCTGGTCCATGGACTCCTCAGAATTTTGCTGTGATGAAAAGATACAGGGCTAATTGTCCTGATGATGTTTGCCAAGAGAAAGCCAGGGCCCTAATAGCAGCCCTCCTACTGTTGATAAGCAAAACCAGAAACAAACAAACAAATACCCCAAAAAACCCAGCTCTCTCTTCTAGTAGTGCTGGTAGACTGTTCCTGGCCCAGAAATCACCAAACAACAAGAAACACAAAAAGCCAAAGAGGGTCATTTTGTAGGAGAGGAAAGTATGCCACAAACCCAAAGGCATCACTTGTAATGGGCCAGATTCGTACAGGGGAATGAGAGATGCGCAACTGGGCACAGTTATTAGCATATTCCCAGAAGCTGCCATTCGCACTGAAAATCTGGTGCCCAGCACCATACACAGGCAATTGGCTGGGGGCATTTATAGGAAGAGTTTCCTGGAAGAATCACTGAGGATTGTCATTCACATCAAGACTCAGGAAGTCTGGGCACCATGTGGACTGTTTCAGTGATTTACAGGGCAGGGCTCCCAGCTGAGATGCTAATGCTCATCAATTATTTGTACTGTTAATGCAAGCTCCTGAAGGGCCGAAGCATCAGCAAATATATGGACAAGTGGTGCTGTTATAATGACAAGTGAAAAGAATACGATGTAAAATTATATACATAGTATGGCTTCCACTCTGAATTACAAAGTTAAACCATATAAAACTGCCATTTTGTGGGGCAATAATGGTTGAACACTGGCAACTTCCTGTATTTCAACTTAATACATACACATAGAAAAAAGACTAGAAAGAACTGCACCAAAATATTAATGGTGACTCTATCTGAGCATTGCATTTACAAGCAGAGAAACAAGATATGGAAGGTATTTTTTATAAATCTGGAGAACCTCAAGTCTTTGGGCATCTATTTCTTTGCTGTGTCTTTATAGTTCCCTAAATCTTATTTTAGGGTGTGTTTCCTTCATTATCAGGAAAAGTGGAACAAACTTTAAAAGGTGGCAAGCTAAACAAAATGATGTACAGAGGGAAAACAGCTACTCTGGAATCATACACAAATGGGAGAGGTTCCTTTCACAGAGAGTGAAGCCCACTCTGCCCTGTCCAGCATGGACAGATGATGGCAGAATATCTGCTCCTGGCCCAGGAGGGAGGGAGGGAGGGGAGGAACTGATCAGTGGTCTAGTTGGGAGCCTGTAGAGGGGTGTTCGTCTGACTTGGGACCCTGTTCATCCCCGCAGCCTGTGTTCTTAGGACTCTTGGACTTCATGGATCTCACTTGGAGAAACACAAATTTTTAGCCTAAAGTTTTATCCATTGAAAAATGTTTTTCTTCGTAAAAAAAAAAAAAAAAAAAAGGACACCTGGGTGGTTCAGCTGGTTAAGCCTCTGCCTTTGACTCAGGTCACGATCCCAGGGTCCTGGGATCGAGCCCCGCATCAGGCTCCTTGCTCAGCGGGAAGCCTCCTTCTCCCTCTGCCTGCCGCTCCCCCTGCTTGTATGCTCTCTCTCTCTCTTTCTCTCTGACAAATAAATTAATAAAATCTTAAAAAAAAAGAAAAATGTTTTTCCATTGCGAATTATCACTGCCAAAGGAGTTTTGTCTGTAAAACTGATGAACAAACTTAGCATGGGTACAAGAGCGGTGTTGTAGATTCATTCATTCATTCATCACATATTTATTAAGCACCTACTATGTGTCGGGAACTGCTCTAAGTGCTTGGGAGACATAAGTGCACAAAAGAAACAACAATTTCTGCTCTCATGGGCATGAGGCCCTTCTACCCGGGCAAACCAGACAATGAACAACAAGCATTATAAACAAGTGAATTATATGTTAAGAGCCTAGGGGTAAGGCTCATAGAAAGGGTACTAGAGTGAGGTGGGTGGGGAGTTGCAGTTTTAAATAGGACTGAAAAATTTAGTCACTTAAGCAAATACTTAAGGACACCTGAAGAAGATGAGGGAGTTAACTCATGTCTATATCTGGGGGAAGAATCTGGGTAGACAGAACAGCCGGTACAAAGGCCCTTAAGGAAGCATATCTAGAATAAGGAGGTTGGTGGAGCTGTGTGATGCCAAAGAGTTACCGGGTCAAGAACTTGAAGGCCCTCCCCTGTGGGTCCCAGGAAGGACTCAGCTTTTCAGTGTGAGCTAGACAGAAGCCAAGCCAATGTAATGGCTGTCAAATGTGCTTCTCAACACACTCCAAAGTTAAATGCTATCCCTGCAGATGGTTACTAGATGCAACCTGACAGATTGAAATAAGGGAACTGAAATCATGTAGCAGGCCTCTGTAATAAGGGAGTCAGCCATAGGATCCAGAGTATGCATACATTTTTAATATTATCGTGTAAATGCAAAAATAACATAATGAGTGACCTCAGAGGGTTCTCAGACCTTCAAGAACAGTTGAGTGAACCCTTAGGGATACACAGACCTGAGTTGGAAAAACAATTTCCTGGTGCACACACTGTAGATATGCCAGAGGAGCAGAGGAGCATAATAGGCCCATGGACCACCACATGGATTTGCTGCTACACAAGAAATGGAAAGGTAAGTCTAGGGATTTTGAGATCCTGTTCTGGAAACTCAGCAGAAGGTTGTGGCTTTAGAAACAAAGAGAAATGATGGGAAATGCAGGGAATGAGAGCTGATACCCTGAACTGTGGCTGATGGTGTTTAAGCAATGGGTGGTGTCATCTTACAAAACCCAG